GCAAAGGCAGCTTCTGGATAGAGTAATTCACATCTAATATTTCTAACACACAATATTGAATATTTTTATTAATAGAAAAACTCCACTTCAATACGATAGAACAAAGTCATCAAACCCAAACCCAAGTCCAAACTATCAAACAGGGCAAAGATGCCTTCCCAGAATCACAGAGATCTCTCTATTCCACACCACATGGAATCACTGAATCCTAATATAGTGGAGTGGAGACATAACAGTCATCTGGCTACTAGAACCAAGCACATGTGTACTATAGCTATTTTCAAGATAAAACACTTCTCACAAGCTAATAACTGCCTTTTCCACAGCTGCACATTAGTGAAGGAGACTTGTTTACACATACTATAGTAATTGAAGAACATCTTTTGCAGAACAAGACCAAAATAATCAGAGTAAGCCAAATTTAGTTTGCTTTCAGAGAACTGAAGAACAAAATTAATTAGGTTGATGAGATCCTTCTCTAGAATCCCTCAGAACAACATGGAAGCTCACAATAAGTACGTCATATCAAGTCTTCAAATAACTTGCCAATAAATTCTACTCGCTGGACAAAAAACTCCTCCTCTAAGTTTGTTTTACTCCACCAGGTAAAGAGGTAACTCTTACCCCTCACAGACGATTCATTTGGTATCTTTGTAGCAATGAAAAATTAAATAACTTTTCTGAGAAGCACCTTCATTGCACTTCTGCATTACAACATGATAGAAAGCAGATTGTAGACAACTGTTCCATCATGCCTTTTGTCAAGTCCTGCACCACAAGAATACATGGCCTGACTGTGGAAACAGGTACAGCAGTATCACTTATCCTTGGAGAAACCCACAATCAGAAAGCCAAATATTGCAGAGAATTCTACAGCGAAAACAAACAGCATACATCTCTAATGCAAGCCTTCTCCTTTAACACAGCAGTAAGTCATCTAGTGTATTTTACCCAGGTTCACTACCAAAATAGAATAATCTTGCATTAGTATCAAAGGGACATCTTTATTAGTACTCCTGCCACTAACCTGCCTGGAGAACACAGAAGCACAATTCCTTTCACTGTTCCTCACCTATGGAACTATTTCAGAGACAGATCCCACAATCAGCAGCACCTCTGGCAAAGCAGAGACAAATTAAAATAAATGCAATTCAAGAATTTCAGAACTTCCTGTGCTGTTCTAAGTAAGTTTTACTACACAGCATCCGTGTAATTCTGGCTTTTTGGAAAGGTATTATAGCAGGAAGGACACTATGAAGTACTACTTAGTTCTAAAAAAACATAGATGCAAAACAATCAATTAGAATTTTATCTAAGTCAATGCCACATCAAAATAATTGACACTTTAGCAATATAACTCTGCTGATTGAAACAAAACAGCTACAATTGGAAGGCTTTCATCACCCTAGAAGATAAAGAAGAGGAAAAGAAGCTATCTGACTTAACTTCTGTAGTACTAGAGAATTAAGAAGTATGGACAGTATCAACAAGCAGTATTTATTGTACTGTAATGATGAAATGATCACAGCAAATCTTTCAGCTACTTGAATAGGAAAAAAGTGGAAAAGTAATTTTTGTAGTGTTCAGTAAAAATTTAAGCTAGCAGATTTTATACTGAGTTTATATACTCTCATGACAATTTGCTGTTGCAGAACTTAATTTTGAAGTTCACTACATTCCATGGGTCCACTAAAAGAAACTAGCAAGCTAAGACTGCTCTTCAAGATGCACCATTTTCTACAACAACAGCCATTCCCAATACATGTACACACAGAAAAGTGTGCCTGTAAGTTAGCTGTAGACTGTGGAAACTTCTTCTCAAGCATCCTGACAGCCACTGGACAGAAGCAGAGCTCAAAGATTCAAACACACACATTCTATAGTGCTAGGAATTCCATCCGTAACCTGCAATGGTGACTTCTTAGCTGCTCCGTCTATTCCACTTGCTGGTTCAGATATAATTCAGGAAGGGAATGAACAAGAGTTACAAGCATCAGTTTTCTCATCACACTCAACAAAAAGCAACTCCTCCGATCAGCTACCTTTATTACACAAGTGAGCAGAAGAGACACCAGGAGAAAAAAAAAAAAAAGAAAAAAACAACAACAAAACCCACACTCAACAACAAAACCACACTCCTTTGGCTATCTGCAAAAAGTACCTAGAAATGTCACTGACAGTACCCAATTTCCTTAAGAAGGCAGGGACATCTTACATTCCCTGCTACGATAGTTTGCTAAATGAGGTAGCTATGGTCACTATGACAGAACTGCCTAGGAATAAGAGCATACTTGCACTACAAAAAAAGTTTAGGAAAGCTTGCATTTTTATTATTTGATCATACAAGACCAGAACAATACTTTTATGCTACATGCAGTGCCAAAGTTTAAAGTCTTCACAGAAAAATAGTTATTGAAAAAATGTCTGTAAATGAAACAATTTTGGAGAAGTAAAACTATAGAGTTAATTAAATTTTTTGGGCTGATTTTGAGCAGAGAATTACTAGTATTATACGCTAACCTTCACTTCACAAAACTACGTGCCATATCTAGAGATTAACATTTCACATTCCAGTTTCCTTTAGTTATTTTTGTGATGTCTTGAACTACTTTCCAGGTTCTTAAAAATGAGATGTTAACATAACTATAAATAAATACTGAAATAGCAGAATTAGCATGCCAGATATAGCCAGGTTCCCAGAACAACTAGGCATACAAGTATATGCTGTGTTTGAAAAATATAAATGCTGAAGGCAAATTAGAAGACCTGTCCTAGCAAACAAAAGAACAGTAAAAGTGGTAGGTTTTTATAATTGTTTTTTATGTGGGGTTTTTTTTTTTTGGAGGTGGGTTGGAGGCAGGTTGGAAGCTTAGGGGATTTTTTTTTTTAAAATGTAGTTTGCATTGGAAAAAAAACAACCCAATTCATTTGTCACTATATATCATAGTTCAGCTGGGAAGTTTTGACCAATATAACTGTTTATACTGCAAATATTTGCCTACCACAAAATGAGTGAAAACCATGAAGACCCTGGTCATTTTTACAACTCCTGCTTAAAAGTATTCAAAGAATGATGAAACTGAAAATAGTCACAGCAAGAAGTGATCTGTATTAACAACAAAACCTAGTACCAAACTATTTAAAGGCACAAAGCTTAAAAATAGAGGAAGTGCGAGATAACAGAGAAATTGCAAACACACATCTCAAGAACCTGAAGAGACAGAACTTCACATACTGAACCTGCCCAATACAGAATACCTAGGACATCTCCTTTTCCTGTGCCAGTGTGCTTCAGGAGCAGCATCATGACTCGCAAGTGAACAGCAAAGTGTAATACATGGATTAGGTATTCTCACAAAAAACATGGCCATGGTCCTTGCCAGTCCTAAGATCTGATGCTCTTTTCCTAAATACATGCCAAGCTTTTTTTCCTTGGACCATGGCCTTCTAGAAAACACAGTTCCTAAGAAAGAACGAGAATTTCTTCTACAAATCTGGACATATTTTTAAAAATGCATCAGTCAAAAAAAGAAGAAAGAAGTGTTACATTAAGTCATTCTATAAGCTCTACATAAACTGGTAAAATTTCTATACAACAAACTAAGCATCATGAACTAAATGAGCATTTGGAAACATTTTATGGTGTCCTCTCCAGTTCTGAAGGAGGCACAGTCTCCAGTTATTGAGCACTAAGGATTGCCTGACTACAAAGGGAGAGGAAAACCAAGAGTGTAATCTTCTTGACAAGGATCACAGCTTGAAGAAGAATCTTCCAACTTCAACAAGGACAATCATCCAATTTAGTTTCAAAATATCACATAAAAAGCTGTCAATCATTATGAAATCTTTCTTTAATATCAATAGAACTTTGCTTTAGGATTATGGAGGGGAAAAAAAATCTAACTTGAAAAACCTCAAGAGAGTACAAACCACAAGACTACATAGAATCACACCGTGCATAGAGTCCACAGGAATATCTTTACAGAGTTTTAACCACGTTTCCGAATACGAACACACAGTTTTTTCTGGGGACGAGGAGGTTGGCAAAGAAGGGAAGAAGCAGCTAACAAATCCATCCACTCAAATTCATTGAATTGTCTGCTGGTAATAGTATTTAATAGCCTTTAAGCCAAAAAGAAAACCAACAAAAAAAACCCCACTAATAATAATAGCAATAACATACACACACAGGTAGCAGCACCCATTTCTCCCCCTCCTCCATGAAGCTTTTAATTTTGCTTGACCTATCATTTTTCTTCTTTCTCCCAACACTGAATAATAGCTGGGTCTCTCATTATCACCCTGTCAAAGTCCTATTCTGTAACTCCTAATCCTTTCCAAGCGCAAGGTTGGACTAACGTACTGGGTGGAGATAACAGAACACAATGAAAGCCAGCAGCAGTAAACGATGCTGCTGCTGCACAACTTGCTGATGATATTGCTGCTGACAAGCTCGGTGCATGTGGGCAGAACGCAACCAACACGCCCATAAAGCCTACCCCGCCCTCCAGCCAACAGGCAGCAGCCGTCATTGATACCGTACAGGCCACGAAAGCAATTTTTGTGTTTGTATGACACGCCATAAGGACCAGCAAGCTGCACTGGTTGCATGAACGAGGGTGGTTTCAGAAAAGGTTGAAGGACCCACATGCACCCCGAAGTCAACACTCATTGGGGCAGAAAGACAACAAAAAACACCCTTCCAAGCCATCTCTACCCAAGGAACTAGAAGAACAGTAAGGGTATTATGGCGAGGTACCTACAATGAGTGGGATAGCTGAAGCATCTCTGGATATTGGCTACCCAAAATGAAGCAAAAACATGCAAGGGAAGAAGCGAGAGAGCTAAGCCAGCACCTTGCCACCATCACACACACACACACCCCCCTCCTTCCTCCCTCCCTTCGGGCACTAAATGAGAAGCTCCAGACGCCCAAGACAGGGTCAAGGAGCACGGAGCGTGCGGCAGGGAGGGGAAGGGGAGTGGGATGCTTTTCTCACCCAGCAGGAGGACGTTCTTCCCCGAAGGTAGCTTAGAGCGGGAGCGCGTGGACACCTCACTGAGGATGCAGGACCTAACGCGGAGAGACGACAACGCTTAAGAGGGGAGTCCCGCTTCCTCCCGGCCTCTACCCTCACCACCTCCGGTGGGGAGCGTAAAAAAAGGCATGGGAAACGGGGGGCAGGGCAGGAGTTGCCACTGCCAAGGGGAG